CTGGGAAGCTGTCAGGATTATTGGGGCGAATGTCACACTACATAAAATTAATTAATTAATTAATTAATTTAATGTAGCCACCCATCTCACATACGTGAGTCTAGGTGGTGTACAATAAAACAATTAAATAAACATTTATTTATTTAAATATAATACAACAATTAAAAAAAATTAAAAAAATTAAAACAGTTAAAACACACATATAAATAAGGCCGTGGGAGAATGGACCAACAGCCTATGCACAGTGTAGCCACCTTGTGGGCTCCCTACTTCCCTGGGATCCCCAAGCCTGTTAAAAGAACCAGGTTCTTTCTCTGTGTCAGCTTCTGAAATAAGCTGTTTAGTAGAGTACACAGCACTCCAGAAATAACTTTGCAAAGGTGCTTTGGAATGGCCAAGGGCCCAAACATAGTACTGGTCTGCAACTCTGCAGGTGGCATGTGACCCTCCCAAAAGACAGTTGCTTTAAAGAGTGACAGCTCTGACATATTTTTTTGAAATTAAGTTCAAAGCATAGCATAGTCCTACTGTTTAACCCATGTCATCACCTTTTGCTCCAGGATAAGGTGCCATGAAGGAGTGTCACTTGGAAGAGGCAGGAGAAATTGAGGGAATCATGAAGACAAAAGTAATGGAATCCATTATTTTTAAATATAACATGTCTCCAAAGACATCAGACAAGGGGATTTTGCTTGTGTTTCTCAAATTTGACAACTCTTAAGACATGTGGACTTCAACTCCCAGAATTCCCCAGCCAGCAGGTTGGAGAATTCTGGGAGTTGAAGTCCACACATCTTAAAGTTGCCTAGTTTGAGAAACGCTGATCCAGAAGGAATGTAGGAAGCCACATTATTCCAAAGCCATGGAGTTTAACCTTATCTGATCAGCAGTGGCCCTCTGCGTTTGGGGCAATATTTTATAGCATTTTTGGGGGCTGTCAGAATTTGAACTAGAGACTTTGTGTGCACAAAACATGTGAGCAGCCTCCATCAGCCAAAGCTCATGCTTTACTCTGATGTACACCTTAGCTGGGGCATTTGGGGTTTTTTAGGACTGATACATTTGGAGAGCATCAAGTTGGGGAAAGATCCTGAAATGGTCATTTTTTCAAATGTTTTGAACTTGGAGGGAGGGGCAAATCACTTTTTAAAAATACTCTGCCTTTGGGGACTTCCATTCATTTTTCAGATTAGAGAATGTCTGAATGGATGTGTGAAACTGTTGTGTGAGATCTTTCAAAAGATTTTGCACATCACTCCTTATCTAAAAAAAGGAATGCTGTCTTCCCTTGCATTAGCCCAAATTACAGAAACTGAGCTGTTTTGTCCTTTGGCTCTGCTTGCTCTGTTTGTGGTAGTTGTCCCCTGGATGCTCATAGAGTCCTATGTGTATATGACATTCAGGAGTAGCAGATCTGGCCGAACCCAGGCTTTCCAGACTATTATCCCATGATGGTGCCTGGTCTTTTAAAATTTCATTTTACCCCTCCTTCTCTTCTACTTAGACAGTAGTTAAATCATGTTTATAAAAAGTATCTGAAATTGATGATCTATCCAATCCACAGCCCTAAAAACCTATATAGATAGAACTTTATCTATAAATGCTTTTAGAGGCCCTCAGAACTTTTCTCAAAAGCCACTCAAAGCTTTTCCCACTTGTGAAGGTGGAACCAAATCTGGATAAAGAATTTCAGAGTATCACAGTTAAAAAGGCTCACTGTGAAAAGTCAGTGTGTCTTGACCAAAGTCTTCCCTGATCGATCTCGATGGAGAGGCTCATGGAATTCTGGTGCTGTTTAGAACCAAAGTCAGAAGTGAAGTGTGCCTAAGACAAGCCATGGGCCAATAACATTTGTTATTGGAAGTGGTTGCCCAGGATTATATGCCTGTTATGGGCTTGGCTCTCTATCGTAATACATTTTTGCACAATGTCATGGTCATCATTGTTTAGTTGGAAAAGATATGCTTTGCTGCTTAACTTTAGTCTCTCACTGATTGCCACAAATCTCAGGAGAGTTTTTTCAGTAGCATTTAGGGAAGCATTTTAACAAGCCCACTTTTTAAAACAGGAAAGAATTTGATACCCATCTCCTTATGAATAAATTATAGAGTATTATTGTGGAATCCTTGCCATTGTATGATTTGTCAATGTGTACCATTCTAGAGAAGTAGATGTGATTAATCCAGCAAGTTTATAATGGGGTGGCTCTTTCCTAAAACCATTTTGTCACAGGGTTGCTGGAAGAAGAGCACCCCTTTCTGGCAATCCTCCAGTTCCAGAAACAGATTTCCTGTGTTCATGAGAAGCCATCTTTAGCATGGTTGGTTTTGTGCAGATCCTCCTTTCCCAAACTGCACCCCCCAGATATATTGGGCCAACCACCATGCTGGCTGGGAGTTTTGGGAGTTGCAGTCCCAATGCATCTGGGTGGTGTTGGGTTGGGGGAAGACTAGCCTGAAATGGAACTCTTGAGTGTGGGAAATAGGTATGTTAGAGAGACTCTCGCATATGTGGTCATTCTATGTGACTCTGTGTCTCTGCTTCATTTCATAGTGAATTCATTGCGTAGGTGAAGGCTTCCCAGGGTCCACTCCAGGCTTCTCATAAGAAACTGGATTGTCTCATTCTGTGAACCATCCAGCCTGTGTCATCATTAAAGGAGGCCATCTGTGCAGAATAAGTCACCCTTAGTTTCCTGCATGCGCCTCTCAGGTTTTACAGCTCATCTTCCTTCACTTTGGTTGTTCATTTTATCATTGATTAAAATACACCTTGTCAAAACACTAGCTATGTCCCCTTTCTGTTTTATTGTAGTTACTTTTTGTGAGGTTTTATCCATTTACTGGATCACATGCTCTTTGTATCTCCCCTCTCAATCAACCAAGTACCTGAGGATATTTATTTTAGCCCTAAACTCAATCTGAAATATTTCTCTATACTCTCATAACCTAAACAATTGATCAAGAAGCTGATTGAACCCTGAATTGTTTTGGCAAGATGCTGAATACGGCCATTCTGTTAAGCAATGATGACATGAACTGAAGAACACAATTAGAAGGTTGCCATGTCCCACCCCCACCCCCCAGCATCCCTTTTGTGGGGTGGATGCATTCTGAGAGATAAAGGACTTTGGTGAGATTTGTGCACTGCCCAATTCTGGCGTCATCAGTTCCCAAGGAAGAATATCTCAGATAGCAGGAGTTGGTAGAAAGTATTTCTGTGGAACGGGTGTGGAGGGAGGTTAAATATAGTTAATTTACACTGATTGACATTTTTTCTAGCATTCTATATTTTCCATAATTTGGTTGGGTTTTATTTAATGCACTGAAACTGGTTAGCGTGATTCCAAGAGTGAAAGACACAAAGTTGTAGTGATGCCAGCAAGCTGCATTTGTGATTTATCCGAGGCAGGTCAGAACAGACAGTATGGCCCAGCATTCACCAATCTGAGGGGCTTCATCTATCTTAAATTACCAATTCAGTCATCTTCAGCTAGTGTGATAAAACTCCCATCATTCCTAAAGTCACCAAGCTGGGGAAAAGTGCTATAGAAGAAATGTGTTAGATGGACAGACAGATCAGACTTCATGCAACAGAGAAAAAAGGACAGCTTCTAGAGGCAAGGGTGTTGTTGTTGAACTTCTGAACATAATGGTGAGGGATAAGTTAGGGGTTCCAAGGAAGTACCTCAAATTAAATCTCTAACTATTTGTTCCATCAACTTGATTGCATGTTTTGATTTTAGGTCTTTTTAATACAGATTTTAATTGATGAAATTGTTTGAATGTTAAAACCTTGGAATATGTATGAATATTAAATAGAATATTAATTCTATTTAATTTGACATTAAACAGAAACAGCACCCTGCTTTCTAAATATGGGAACGTACATCTAACAATCACTTTAATTTCCTTTTTAAGGAATTGGAACTACAGATATCTTTGATAATAACAACTAGGATGTAAATGATTCAGATAGCAAACAAGTTCAGATGCCATCAGCCAGGTTTATGCACTGACACTAATTTGAATTGTGCATTCAGTTCCCTATCAGATAAAAGGAAAATTCATTGTTATGTAATGAATAACATCAGGCAGGTATGAATAAAAGTAGGTTGGAAAACAAGAAAAACATTTTTCCTGTTAAAAATGTAACAGAGGAGGAGTTAGTAAACATGGATTGCCAGTTTAACTGTATCTTCCAGTCTGAATTTATTTGTTTGCAATGGAATAAGAAGGGAAGAGTATTAAATCACTGAACACTTAATCTCCAACTAATTCAGATTACATAAGGAGTTTATTTCTCTGTAAAAAAAAATGTGTTTATTTTCTAGCAAGGAAGGAAGGAAGGATAATTTGTTTAAATGACAATCCCAAAATTTTACCTCAGATATTTTGAAAACTCCTGATCAGGATGACCCAAATCCTTATTAGGCCAAAACTTCATCCCACATATTCTTAAATAATTGACTCTAATCTCCATGTGAGCAACTACTGTGACCTTCCTCTGCCTATGCTATTTGGATCTGTTCCAACAGCATCTCATGCAAACTTCTTCATGCTTCTGAATCTCCTGTTAGTTAGACACACTTCCAGCTTCATGCTTGTCCAGGTGGCATTTTTGAGAAAATATGGGCTCAGACTGTGCTTTTGTGATGGTGTGAATCTTTTGGATGAAAGCTACCATGTTCACATTCCTGGTGGTGAATGTAGGTGGTATGGAAAAAGATGGTCAAGCTGGAGGTTAGAATGGATTGCAATGAGCTATGGCAGTCCTAAAAAAAATGCATGGATCCCTGATGTGTGGTAATAATGAATGCAGACTGCTCAGTTGTCTTAATGCCATTGGTTTTGGCACGAGAGGGTGGATCGGGGATCATGTGCTTGAGTGTTTCTGAGAATGAAGAGGTTGGCTCCATCCTGTACGTTGTGTTGGAAGGAGAGGGCTGACTGGATGGCCCTGGGACTCTGTATTGATTTGCTGTGTTCTTTGTGCTCCAGGTGCTGCTGCTTCTATAAGAGGAAAAGGAAGAAGTCTTCCCAACGCCAGAAATAACAGGTGTCTCCTGAAGGTCTTTGGGGGCTTTACGTACCTGCTGTTCCTGCCACGTCTTATTGAATGGGGCTCCTGTTGGGGAAAGTCAAGAAACAAGGGACACTTTAAACCAAAAAGAGAGAGAGAGAGAGAGAGAGAGAGAGAGAGAGAGAGAGAGAGGAGGGGGAAATTCCAAAATAAACATTCAGGTGGATTCCCCAAATGGTCTCCCTTGTTCACTCCGTACCTGAGGCTCCTTTTGGAATCAGGACAGCATCTCCGCCCCTGCCCGGCACTGGTTGCCCTTGATGGAAGGTGGGGCTGGCTACCCTCCTTCCTTTCTGTACAACAGTTCAGCAAAATGGGCATTCCTGGTGAATGTGCTTTATTCCTCCTCCCCGCTTTCTCCTTTTGGTTCTCACGTGCTTCCCCCTCCCCTCCCCAGGGGCTGGTGTGAACCGTAGGGCCAAGGTAAAGGCGAAGAGAGGAGAGTGCTGCTGAAAGAGCCCAGCTTCTCCTACATCCAAACGCTGAGTTCCAGCTGTCCCGGCACCCAAAGTGTGATCCTTCTTAGTTGCACTTGGACAGAGTCTGTGGCGGAAAGCCAACAGTTGGAGAATTGCAATCTACTCTTCCAGTTGCCTTGATTTATGGCTTCGGTGATGTCTCCTTTCTCAGAGCGGTTAGAGAAAACTGTCCGTTCTAAATGAGCATAAGTTGTTGCACTTTTAATTTTTTATTTTAACATGACGGATGCATATGCTGTTTATGTGTGTTCTCTCCTCGTGGCTGTGAATGATGCCAGCACACGTGCTCAGCTTCTGGAGTGCAGAGCCTCCTCTTAATATAGGCTGCCCGCCCCTCTTAGCTCCCCAGGACTGCTGCCAGGCCCACCGTTGTTTGTGCCCTGAAGCTTACTTGAATTTTCCAGCTTACGTTGAACACCCCGGTTGCGGTTTTTCTCCATGGTGCCTAACTTGACCGGCTTGGGACTGAAAATCTTTTCTGCTGGCAGGAGGGAGCAAAGTCAGCCGGACTGAACTTTGGACGAGTGACAGAGAGGCAGATGCAGACTGCCGTAAGCGACCATGGAACGAATGAGGCACTTTGGCCTTTTCAGCGGAGCAAAGCTCTGCCAGAGAGAGGACACTGCCGCTGCCTTACACTTCATCTCTGGTTTGGATTTTGCCAAGGTTTTTCAGTCATCTCTACAGAATAGAAGAGGGGGTGAGATCCAGCAGAGTCATCTGCATAGTGCCTGCAGATCTGTCAGTTGTGTAGCCCGGGCTTTGTATTAATACATGTACGTGGGTACGGATTGAGATAAATATCAGAAATGTAAGGTCTTTCTCCAAGGAGACAGTTTGAGAGTGGAATGAAAGGGATCCTTCTTCAAAACACCTGGATTCACCTCCTAAAATCTGTCTGTCTAAATGGCAACACAGCCCCTTTGATCAGTGACTAATTTTTGGGCACCCCTGGGAAGGAAGCTACCTTCAGGATTGTAGGGGGAGAAATAAGCAAGAGCCCCTTGTTTGCAAATGAAAGAACCTGTTTGTAGGGAAAAAGCCACTGGGTCCTCTAGTGACTCTGTGGGTTCCTGCTCATCTCAAATACTCTTTTCATGTCTGATGCGTGTCTTAGTTTTAAAATCTCATTTGGGGAGGGAACCCCACTCTCTTTGCAGAGCTGTAGATTGCTGTTCATTTCCCAATTAGTGTGCCAGAACCTAGATTTTCAGTGACTAGTGCATTCATTCTTTGGGTTCTACCTTTTTCCCAAAATTGGGGTACCACACACAGCTCCTCATCCTCATCTTTCATCACTGATAAGAGGTGGGAGTTTCCCCCTTAGCAGTCCATTCTTAATGATTAACTTACTCTCCACTGAATACCAATTAAAATGAGTCTTGTATCCCACCCTTACCATGGGAATCATGCTTGATTTCTGGAGGAGATAAAAATTTAAGAATTCAAAAAGGAAAATTGCAGCTCTTTAATTCTAGCAGAAGCAGCATTTACATTTCTCTTATCCTATCCATTTGAAAACCTTGCATCTTGAAAGTGAAATGTCTTTACACAAAGCAAGACAGTTTAGGGCTTTTTTCCCCCTGCCAAGGTACAACTTGAAGCTTGCAAAAAGGGAGAGCTATATGTTAAAGTAAGGATAACTTTGCTTCTAAATCCTCAGTAAATCTCTAGAATGAAATAGGAACTAGAGAAACTAACTTGGTCTAGACCACTTTTAGGATCTCCTTTTGTTGTACGCTAATATTTCATTTTGCAGAGAGCACTGGTCTGGTTCATGAAAACAGCCTCAAAGTTTTCCATTACTTCTTTGGAAATTGTAATATCAACACTTGGGTCTGTAGCCTCCCGTTTCCAGTGAGGCAAAACATGTCAGCTTCCAGCCTCAGATAATGTGCTTCTGAACTGTGTTGAAAAACTTACCTATCTTTCCCAGAAATTAAGAGCCAAATCTATTGTAAGGATTGCTTTGCTTCAGGAATTCTTGAATTCCTTACTAGTTTCACATAGTTTTTCTGTAAGGTCAACATATCAACAGTTATTTAATATCTGTTTAGAAAATAGAAATAACTATATCCAGTTATCTAGGAAGAGGGCTTTCCATATATGCATGTTCATCAGCTGTTTGGTTTTTTGTCATGTAAAAAAGGCTAATTCTCTGTTTGGACCAGGAATCCCATTCACAGACATCTCCATATTCTTGAACTTAGTAAATGATCTGTCTCATTGGTGTGATCATTCCTTTCTTTTTTATAGAGAAACTCGAGTTGCTAATCTAAAAGAAGCTCTGCATTAATGTTCAAGAAATGTACATATATCGCACTGAGAATTACCAGCATCAGCATTAGAAAATTCTTAAGTCTATCATTGCTTTGAGAATTTTGCTCTCTTTCAGTCGTTACCCTTTTACAATACTCAAACATCCCCTGAATTAGCTATGGTTGTTCCAGAGACATTTGCCTTTCAAAAGGGCCTGTCCAGTGTTCCTAAATCCAAAATCTGAGATCTGTGCTTCCATTTCCGTCATGTACCACAACTTCTAGAAGGGGATGAGCAGACTGTTACTGCTGCTTCTTGAATAATAGCACTCCGTAGGTGTGTCTTTCCTAAGGTTTGGTGAGTGGTGACTTCTTCCAAAAGGTAAATGGAAGATACCAGGGTGAGCCCCTGGCGTGTAATTTGGGTGTAGTGTTGGAGTGATAAACGTGAACTGCCAAATTTGTACTTTCCTATAAGTGCAAAGCCATAAACTTTGCTTTCTCAAGATATTACAAAAGGTTCAAGAGGAACAGATCACGCCTTTTCTGTACTCCTTATTGGGCCTTGAAAGGATGTACCAGCCTTTTCTTGGAAGGCTGTGTTCCATGAGTTTTGAGCCTCAATAACTGAGGAGTGAGAGGTTCGTTTCTTTCTGTAAGCCTTGATGTTGGCATGACGGCTAGCAATGAAAGGACATACAGTTGTGGATGTACTTTGCCTCAGCAGTTCTCTAAGCCAGTGTTTCTCAACCTTGGCCACTTTAAGATGGATGGACTTCAACTCCCAGAATTCCCCAACCCCGCACTGCCGGGGGGGGGGGGGGTTCGCATGGTGGAAAACGCCTCCCTCTTAACAAGACAGGGGAAGAAACAGTGCTAGTCG